AGGCGCGCTTTGGGGCGGCTTTTTGGGGGTTGCTTTGTCTGTTTGTTTTTCGCTCTTCTCATGCACACAGCTTTTCTATTGTCATGTCACTTTTGACATTTCCCGCTGCGAGAGAGAGGAGAGAAATGGAGAAAGTAGAGAAAACAAGTTATAAGACTATTGGGTTGCCGTCTTGGCTAGGGTTCGCGGCGAATTCGATTGCCGTCTTGGCTAGAGTTCGCGACGAATTCGATTTCAAATTCAAATTTTCATGTAAAATATATGTAAAAACAGAAGTTTAATAAACTAACAAACAGGTGGCGCTTTTTCCACCTATTTGGACAAAGCAGTCGAAAAACTACAGTATTACCGACTTACACCTCCTTACCGACCAACGAAAACATGGGCAGCACTGGGGCGCATGAACGAAAAGTCTGGCAGCACTGTTAGCTGGGACCGAAAAGTCTGGCAACGCTGGTCGATCGTGCCGCGGCGTTGCCAGACTTTTCGGTCCCAGCGACCAAAAGTGCCAGATCGTCGGTATTTGGGTTGCCAACCAACAGGTGGCGCTTAAAAACATATTGCTGACAAGTGCTGCTCAAGCTCTCATTTCTAATTTCTAATTTTAATTCTAATATTTAGAAATTATTAATAATATTATTAATATGAATATATTTCTAAAATTAAATGAATTAATTTTTACCTGACCTTTTTTATGATGGTTTTCCCCCAAATAGCAAATAAAATTCGAAAACGAATACTTCAAAATTTGTTTTAGAATATGCTACGTTCTTTTTAAATTTGATCAATTTGAGCATTTCTTATTGTAACTGTTTTGAAACAATATTTTAAACAACTTTTAATTGTTTCGTCGTGAGTGTTTCTTTCTTGAGGATTACCCATCAAATACAAAGTAATGTTGACTTCTAATAAATAACCTATTACATATCGTATTTAAAGTTTTACAGTTAGAGTTTTACATTCTCTGCTTTCCATTTTTGTCTATATAAAATGGCCATATCTCAAAGTAGAAATATGTTGAAACAAATTTAAGTTATTTTTTCTTCTTCGTTATGATATAGTCCTCCCATCCGGACAGATCCGACCTACATTGTATACTAGCGAGAGTAGTCAGAAGACTATCTGCAAAGTTTTATATATGCAGGACGGACATGACTAATACTGGTATAGGGTTGGAAATGACTCCTTCACTGCGTTTCAAACTTCTGACTAAAACTATAATACCCTGCAAGATATAAAAACCAAGAAGAATGACACTGACAAAGATGAACGTACGATTTCTAACTTAGCACTTGTATGATATAAAATTGATATAAAGAACAAAAGTGAATACTTCTTTGGGCTACCATAAACATCAATTACTGCCTTTAGTCGTCTGGGCATTGAAGCCAGTAAATTACTCAGCTCCTTAGTCCTTATTTTAGCCCACTCCTCCGGAAGTCTCCCTTTAAGGCGGTCTTCTCATTGAGCAACTCTTTTTCCACATTTTTTTTTTCCATTTATTTATAGCTTGGGTAGTTGTGAATAGCCCCTAAAAAGATTTTTAGAAATTCGAAATACTTTAGAAGATACAGCCTTTTTTGTGAAGCAAGGTCTTCGTCAAAAGGAGCTATTTTAAAAATGACTTCAAACTTTAACGCGTTTATCTCGAAACCACGTTTTTCGAACTGGCGGCCATGATATTTCCAGTTTAACTGAACCGATTTTCATGAAGCAAAATGGAATCGACACAGAATTGTCGCCATTCTCGGGTGACAGGAGATTATAATATTACAAAAATGTTTAATATTTTTTTTTACACTAAACTAAAAAGCCCGAAATTGACTTTATTTTTGAATGGCCGCCATTTTGTCAAACAAAAATTACAAAGTTATGGTCGACTGTCACCCGAGAGTGACATCTTTACTGATTATAACCCAAAAAAACGGGTTTTGAATGAGAAGACCCCCCTGAGCACCTCTCTTTAAGCATAGGAGCTAAACTTATTGCGTCTTTTCCACCTTCCCGCTCACAACATTTTCCAAACGTACTCTATAATATTTAAAATAATTGCCGCCGACCATAAGTACAGCAGAAAATCCTTAATAACCTGTGCATTGTGCTATAGAATTACTTTCAAATATGGTCTTTTTACTGAAAACGATCTATATTAACCCCGATGAAGGCCGAAATTCCTACTCCCGAGGCTGTACCTGCTACCGACCCCATAAAACCCCCCACCAACGTGCTTTTCCATAGAAATAAAATGCTTGGTTTTATGGTGTCGGTATCTATTAATGTAATTTAGTTTATATATTATTATTTATTAAGTACGAATTATAAAATTATTAAAACAAACAAAACGAAACTATCATTTCCTGCTTTCCCTTTTCATTGTCTTACTTTTCATGTCTACATTGCTTAGTGATAATAACAATTTGCCTCAATTTAAATATTTGCCCTGCCACAGCCAACTCTTCCGTAATTTCCTATGCAAATAATCCTAATTTCCGATAGCTGCGCCCGAATAACGAAATCAGCCATAACGATGTTTGCCAAACAATAATAGAAAAATCAAAATACATTGGGCTTTATATGTGTTGGGCTTTTGCTGTATAAACAGCCTTATTACGCAGCCGAGCCAAGTGCAAACAATAAATTAAATTACACGATTATACATTGACTTGTGTCTGATGCCGAATTTATTTACTTGCCGAGCGAACCGTTGAAGTTTCGCTCTAGCCATCTCATATCGCTTACCATTAGCCCCTCGAAGACCCCTCTGCAATCTCTCTCTTTAATTGCGCTTCTCGTCGCTTCTTGGCTGACAGCTGCTGGCCTGCCTGCCTGCCCTCCGTCCTAGCCCAAGTATTCCTTCTTCTGCTTTGGCCCGAGCTCTTTTTTCGGTTAAAATGAAAATCAATAAAAAGCTCAATGACGTCAGCCGTCCCGACACACACACACACAATATAAGCGGCAACATCGGAAAATGCTGGAGGCAAAAGAAAACAGCTCCCGGCTCTCCCAGACTCCGCCTGCCGCCCCACCCGCCCACAGAGAGTTCTCTCATCTCCGCCGGAAATCCAATAGCTCCCCTTTGTGCGCCAGTGTGTGTGTGTTTTGGGAATATGTGGGTGTTTCGGCGAGTATGTGTGTGTAGCTATAGCGCCGAAGTCATTGCACGTGAGCAGGCTATCAGCAATGGGCTAAAAGTTTCGACAGCCAGAGACCAGAGAGTTTATTCCTTTGTACTCCGCTGGCTTACACAGAGAACAAAGATGGGTACAATGCAGGACTCTTGGACTTGGCAAGAAAATGTAAACATGTATCATAATAGTGTAAAGTCTGTGACTATATAATAATATTTTTTATACATTTTTCAGGAAATCAAAGTCTGAACTAAACGGATTTTGTTTTATTTTTCTCTTTTGGCAGTTGTAGAATATTATTTATATATTATAACTCAGTTATTTATATTAATAACAAACAATCTGATCACTTTTTTTATAGGTTTAATACTAATATACCGCCTACCAACTAAACTATTTTGTTTTAAATTAAAGTAATCAATTTTTAAAGTTTTTTTTCGCTGTGTTGTTCTCTAGCAGCATAAAGGAAATGCATGGGAGCTGAAAATGGCCGACGAATGGAATGGGAGGCCGGGTTCGAGTGGCTCTGACAATTTACGCCAAAATCTCATGATGGCTGCGATAAGCTGACAGATAAACCCGAGAGCAGCAACGACAACTCAAGTCAAATATGCAACAGGAGAGAAGGAATTTTGGCAGGCTTTGTGTCGTGGATATTTTTGACAAGCACGTGATGCGTTAAGGTCGAGCGCTGAGTATCTAAATATAAATTTGATTTATATGGATTTAAGAAGGCACATACATAGCTCTGAGAACGGAAAGAAGGAAAGAAAAATATTTGAACATGTGTATTTCTATAAACTTTAACTAAGGACTGAGCTATTTTATCTCACCGATTCAAAGCTTAAATAATAGATTGTTTAATGATTGAAATAAAAAATATGGACTTTAAAATATATATGTACAATTTTTAGTATTAGTTTGTTATGTTCAAGGATAGCTGAGAAGCGTTTGGTTTCTCAACCTAAAGGAGACATCTGGAAATCTGAAATGGAATCAGTTTAAAGAATGAAATATTTTCAATTTCATGCAGAGATTAAGCTCGTCTTATTTTCAATCAAGCAATCACGTCCCCGACCCGCCAAAGTATGCAATAAAAAGTGATTCCTTCCAATTTGGCCCGGTTGCAATTCCCTCCCCTTTTTCGGAAAATGCATTGAAAAATAGTTTTCTTTTTTGGCAAACGGGCGCGACGGGGCACCAGCACACATCCCTGCATACGAACGAGCGCCAAGAGTTGAGTTTTATGAATATGCAACACGATGTTGCTGCTTAATGTTTGCCCAAAACAACTATATGAGCATGTTAGCCCCATGGGGCGGTTTTTGGGGGTAAAGGGTGGAGCTGAAGTCACACACACACGCAGACATTTATTAGAGCAGTTAGTTTGTAGTAGGTGTTAAAATTGCACATGAAATATGAAAAGCCACTCATAACACTGAGAGAAACATGTGCCGTGCTCCCCCAAGCCTGCTTAACAACTCCCCTAACAATTCACCACGATGGGGCCAGGGAGCGAGAGGCCCACAGCCCCACATAAAGAGAGAGAGCGAGAGAGAGCGCGATATAGTTGGGAATAGCGAGAGAGAAATTCCTGAACTGCTGACGACAATCGAAGCGAATTCCTGATGTAGGTGGGCTATATCAGCTCGGCTTGCTCAGCTTGCTCAGCTTTTTCCAGCTCCAGCTGCGGGTCCAGTTTTCAGTCGTTGTCGTGTCGTCGTGATGTCGTTGCCGTCGTCGCATCCGTCGTCGTTGTCGTTGTTGTTGTCGTCGTTGTCGCCGCACTCCCCGTAGCTGTTGTTGTTGCAGTAGCAGCATTAGCAACAGCAACACCAACATTAACACCAGCAACAACAGCAACATAGGGCTCTACAACAGCAATTTGACAAACAAAGAAAATGAGTTCGCCAAACGGAAAATTATTTTGCGCATATGGAATGCTGCATACTTAGATATAGCTGTATATACTATATATACACATATATATATATTTGCCTATGTTATACACACACAAATCTACATAAAATCTAAGTGCAAACCAATTGTGATTTAAGCTAATGACCACAACCGAATCCGCTGCAAACCAATCCAAAACCGAAACCAAAACCAACAACAAAAAAAGAGTGTATAACCAATAAGTGTAAGAAATCCGTGCATTTTCCCTGGGCTTCCCAGCTAAATTTTCAACGGTCTTCAATTTTCCTTTTTTCCTTCGCTGTTCGTGCGCTGCCTGCTGCTTTTTTCTGTACACACAACGCCACGCAATCCCACCCAAAAAACTCTCCTCGCTCTCTGCTCTCTTCGCTCCGCGGCTGCTCGCCTCCTCGCCTGCTCGCTCCTTTGTTGTGCTGTTGGCCGTGATCTCGCGCCGCCCCCTCGCTGGCTCTCCCCGCCCGCTTCGGCCACGACACTCGGTGCGGATGAACGCATTAAATATGCAGAAAAATAAAGCAACACACACACAAAGAGAAATGTTAACTGGTGTCCTTTATCCTTGAGCTGCAAGAAAATTTCATTAAGCAAATGCCTGGCTCAGATTTTTCACAGGCCCAAAAAGTAGATTCAACTGCGATTAATTTCATGTGTTTTTTTTTTAAATAAACAGTGGAAATGCGGAGGGAAAGTCGTGAATTTTAATTAAATAAAAAGAGAAGACTATTAATACACCAACGAACAATAATTGAGAGTCAGTATGCAAAGCTAACAATTTTAAATAGATAAATAATCAAAGGAAAAGTAGGTTTTTGGTTAGGTTCAAGTACAACACGGCATATGATTATCAAGGAAATTTGTATGCCCCGAAGAGTTAAGGAACATCCTTGAGAGACTATAATATATTCGAATTCATTTTAATTAATAAATTTAAAATTAATTAACACAAAAGTACTCCTTAGACTGGGAGCGAAGAGAAAGCAAAGTTCACACTTCAAAATCAAACTTAAAATTAAATCGTAATAAATATCTAAACAAAATAAAGAGTAAACCGTAAAAGAATAAAAGTTCAAGTACAACGGTGCGTATGCTTAACTTGGCTAACCCTTGTTGGCCTTTGATTTCCGTTGAGTGAGTGAAAACCCAGTATGGCGATAACATCCCAGTATTTACTGTCAGCTGCAGTGTCCTCTCTCTCAGTCAGTCTCCTCTCTTTCTCTCCCTCTCTCCATTTCCCATCCGTGGTTGCGTCGGGGTGTGTGTGTGTGTGTGTTACAACAATGGAGACAGCATGCAACATAATTACAACTCAACTTCAACTTTACACTTAGACGCCAAGCGAAGCTCGCTAGAGAAACAACAAAAACCGAGAGACGCTCAAGTGTTAATCGCGAAACAATTATTATGGTGAAGTCATAACAAATATCTCTCTTTCAAGCAGTTTTCAAGTTTATTAAACGTCAAATATTATATGAAAATCAACCGAAAGCCTTGTAAATAGCGAAACAAACGCAAAAAATAAAACTTTTCAGCCGTAAATGACAACTTTTTCTATATGATTACAATAATAGAAACTCGAAGAAAATAAACTACAATCCTAACAACGAATCAACAAACAACGCCGTTTACACAACAACCACAAAATAGATAGAGGAATGCATGTAAGTTATGCCCAAACCCTGCCATATTTATGTTTCTATTTTGTATTCAAAATAAAGAACTAATATGCAACAATGGCCAAGAAATTGCCACAATCTAGGGAGCAAATTTCGCTGTTATTCTTCCGTTCATTCCTTTTATTTACTGTACTTCTATTTTATTTATTTTCCTTTTGTTGCCCCTGCTCTGTTTACTGGCCAATAATGAATAGTGGGCGGCGGTGGGTGGTTGCGCCATCGATGGGCGTTAAATTTAATTAAAAGGTATACTTGTTACAACACCAGCAACAACTATGGCAGCAACAGGCAGCCAGTTGGAATCGATTTTCCTTTCGACTTGTCTCAGTTGGCAAATGGCAAACGTCACTAGGCAACGGACGGGAGGTGGGTGGAATCGGACCCTGGGCCACATAGACAATTGATGGTAATGACGACACAATCACCCACATTCAAATAAACACCCGCCCAGCGAGTCCAAATGGACGTCATAAATGTTTGACAATGCACACGAGGCGTATGAGTAATGGCAAAGCAGGCCGCAGTTGGTAGACAGCAGGGTAAAAAATAATAGCAGTAGGCCTATAGAAAGAGGATCAACAAATTATATTTGGCATTTTCACTCTAAATTTATATAAAACGTACTTAATTGTTTGTTCATAATCATAGTTGATAATATATAAATAATATAATATCTAAATTATATAAATAAAATATAAAAAAAAGATTGAAGCAAGCTTTCTGTTGGCTTTTAATTCGTTCAATATAAGTGAAGATATTTCTGTGCCAAATTTTGGGTAAAGTATTTATGACATAGTCAGAAAAAAAAGTTTAAATATAACTTTTAACCTTTCCTGCAAAAACTTCTGCCATTTTGCCCGCTGCTGTGTGTCTTTGTTGCATGGCTATGAGGGGGCGTGTGTAGGCGGCTCTTTGGACATCATTGAAACAACTATCCATTGACACAGCCCCCATCCTCTGGCTGGGGGTCAATGGGTGCATAGGATTGCTTTTTATGCTTCGATGTCATGGCTCGCCCTTTAGCCAGTTTCCTCTCGCCCCCTTAACAGCACATATGCAGTGTCTGTTGTTGGGTCCAACTTTTAGCCATTTCTCCTCCATTGACAAGTTTTTGCCAGTGTTTTGTCGCTCGCATTTGTTTGCCGTTAATTGCATGGAAATTGTGCGCGCAATTGAAAAAGTTGAACGGGCCAACTGGGACCGGACAGTGGCATTGTTCCAGCTTCCCTCCTTTTGGGAAGGCCCCACATCCTAGCCCAGCCCACACTCGAGTCAATGGCCAACTAGGACTAAATGACTGAATGAATGAATGAATGAATTATTGTAATTACTGGCCGGGCAAAACAGCCATGAATCAACCACGCTGGCCAGCCACGAATGTAAAATGGTCATTAGTCAGGCCGGTGGGGATGCCCCTTAGACAGGCCGCTTTTTTGGCAGGCCAACGCAAAAAGTCACCAAGTCATTGCCTCGTTTATAGTTCTTGGCTGCAACAACAACAAACGGCAACTTGGCCACGTTTTCTTTTATGGCTCCATTCGAGTCGAGCAGAGTCGAGTCAAGTGTGTATATGTGTGTTGCTCCGGAGTACGAAGACCGAGGCTCGTTTCCCTGAAGTCCATTGCACCCGTCAGGGAAAATGGCTGACGCCGCGAAAATTCGGCTCGCCAATTCAGTTATCTGCATAAATTTCCAGCGATCTCAGCGGGGGGTGTGACGTCACGGGGCCAACAATATAGCCAGATAAGGAACCCCCGTTGACAGGTGATGTCAGTTGATAAATGACCCAGTTCCCAACCGAGCAACCAGTTGAAGCTTTGCCCTTTCGCCAAATAAAAATAAGTGCAAGACAACCAAACCGAAACGGGGTTAAAATTTAAAGTGCAAACAAGAACGTGGGGAGGGGAGGGAAGGTGTTTCTGCGAATTGGGTAATTGGAATTCCACGGAAGGAAAAGCGCGAATAAGGGTTCTTTATTGCGCACGACAGGTCACATACGAACACATGGGGCTAAAAACTTTTTACGCCAGGTTCATACTCATGTAGAATTGTTTTCCATGAATGGTAACTTAAATTTATAGTTAAATTTCAGTCGAAATGCAACCACAATATCATATCGACGCATTTTCGCGAAAGTATCGTATGTCGAAAAATTCAATTTTACAGGAGAAGCTTTTTTGTGCTTTAATCTCTTAGGAAGCACTATAGAAAAGACAAAATTAAAACTTAATTTTTATCGGAACTATAGGGTTTTCAGTTATAATATTTCACAGGGTAGTGAGACATTAGGTTCCTAACAATTTTGCATTAAAATCTCAATTTCGAAAAAAAGCGACATACGATACTTTCGCGAAAATGCGTCGATATATTTCATTATAACGATGGGTCCCATTTCATATTTCCAGTAGTCTGTAACTAAAACTAAGGTTGCTTTTTAAATTATTTAAAAAGGTACTACTCATACGTCGGTCCCCTTTGTTGTGTTATATATATTTTGTAAATTCTACACATGATCTGCAAAGATTTAAGGATATATTAAATCCGTTAGTGTATGCATTGTACATTAAGTTAATATGTATTTCAGTTTTTGAGCTGAATTAAGCCTTTTAGAAAGCCTCTTTACCATAGCAGAAAATATACAAGTTGTAACGGCTCAAATGGCTGAAAACGATCAGGAAATTAATAACAAAAAATGAAACTTAATTGATTTTTAAGATTTTTTGATCAACTCAAAAAGAAAACATGAAAATAAGAAATTGAAATTTGGAAATAATAATGTTAATAAAAACAAGAAAGGAAGCTAACTTCGGCACGCCGAAGTTTGTATACCCTTGCAGATATTATTTCATTACATTTTACCTATACTTATTATGTTTACAGTTTGACAGTTACAGTTTTGCATTCCCAGCTTTACATTTTGTATACATCTACCGATCGGTTTATATGGCAGCTATATGATATAGTTGTCCGATTCTTTTGAAATTTATACCAAAATTTTAGAATAATAAAATAAGCTTATATCCCGGAGTAGATAAAAATACGTTGAAAAACAACGAATATATAATTTTTTTTATATTAATTTCCCGATCGTTCCTATCGCAGCTATATGATATAGTCGTCCGATTTTCATAAAATTTTTACCAAAATTCAGAAATAGTATAAAATGGTCATATCTAAAAAATGGTGCCAAAATGTTGAAAAACAACAAAGTTATAATTTTTTTTCTAAAAATATATCGAACATTTGTATGGCAGCTATATGATATAGTCGTCCGATCCGGCCCGTTCCGACATATATAGCAGTGAGAGTATATAGAAGACTATATGCAAAGTTTCATTGAGATAGCTTTAAAACTGAGGGACTAGTTTGCGTAGAAACGGACAGACGGACAGACGGACGGACAGACGGACGGACAGACGGACAGACGGACATGGCTAGATCGACTCGGCTGTTGATGCTGATCAAGAATATATATACTTTATAGGGTCGGAAACGTCTCCTTCACTGCGTTGCAAACTTCTGACTGAAATTATAATACCCTGCAAGGGTATAAAAAAGTGGTTCACCTATCCCCACTCTCCCCTACATATAAACCCAATATTTTTGGACAAAGATTAAAAAATTCTTTATATTTCTGGAATTCATATTCTAAGAGCCTTAAGTGTCTACGTTTTTATTATTGCATTTTTCCTATGTAACGGACACAAAAAGCAATGCAACATATCCAAATAAATCAAAAACTATTATCATAACCATGAATTTATCTTTTATTTCCACCTACATTTTGGTAATAAAAAGTATTTTCTTCTTTATGGGGTTTTTAAGGTATAAATAGAAGAGTAATGATTTAGATTTCCGAAACGAAAAAAATGACAAATTTTGTGCCTGAACAAAATGCCAACGAATATGTAGCTATGGTTATTTTTATCATTATAGAGAGTAGCAGAGGGTACCGGTAGTCGATAGGTACTTCAAATAGGTTGTCAATGCTGGGAAAAATCACATCTCATGTGCCGTCCCCCTTGAAAGTCACCTCCCTTGGCCCAAATTCAGCATCCATAGACGATTTTTGGTTACCTAGATATGGCTTTAATTTACATTATTTTTGACTGTGGCAAACCTTTTAGCATTCTGACCTTTTGCCTTATGGCTTTCCTGTGTCGCTGTGCTCTTTACTGCTCCGACCTCTTTTTTGAGCATTTCAAATGCATTTCCGATGAGGTTTCCTTGCCGCTGGGCACATTGTTGTTGATGCCGTCTCTGCCAGTGATTGCGATGGCTAATTGAAAGTGTCAATTATCAGCTGGGCAGGCGGCAATGGCAGTGGCAGCTTGCAGTTGGCAGCTGGTAGCTGGCAGTGAACTTTCACATTTGTGCCTGCACTCGCCGTCGTTTGTGAGCCAGTCCCCCTTCTGTTGGCTGCGGGGCGTATGCGTAATGTACAGTAACCTTGGCCAGTGGATAAGGAATGCAGAATGTCCCGCTCCCAGCTCACCGTACCCCCTGGATTTTTCATTATTATTATAATTCATCCTTGTGCTTGATAAGTTTTCCCCTGCCATGCTTTGGGGTTTTCTATTGCAGTGCTCTTTGTTGTTTCAGTAATTGCTCTTATTGCTGCTGTTGCTGTTGTTGTTTTTGTTCGCCGAGTTCGCGCGGTCAGCGCATGAAATTTCCATCTGCTGCGAGGCAGGCGGCGGGGATATTATAGGGGGGAAATTTCTGGGAATTCCGCTCTCAGGGATTTAATGGCAAGCGCGCGCACCGAGAGGAGTTCGTGGTGAATTGTTAGTCCCGCTCCCTTAATATGCTGATTTTTGGCCCAACTTCAGGGATTTTTTCCAAAATTAAAGCAAGTGAAAGCCGTTAAATGACCAAAATAAAAACGAGCATTTTAAGATTGTTTGAAGAGCCCACCAGATTGATTTCCGGTCTGGCCGAGCTAAGGCGAGCTCCATGTCCTTTGGTGTCCCGCTCCCCCTTGCACCCATAAAGCAGTTACTTAAGCCCCGCAACCACCCATCGCAGCCATCAATTTTGCATGGCATGTTGGCGCCGTAGTTGCAGGCCATGGCAGCTCCTGCTGCTGCATCTGCTGCATTATCAATTCATGAGGAGAAGGAGCACAGGACACCAGAAACGAGATATACACGATACACGCCATCGCCGGAGGACCTCTGTGGATGGCAGCATAAAGCAGGCCCATAAACACCATGGAAGCTGGATTTTATCTCGCTTGAACTACATAAGTTATAGGCCAAGAGGGGGTTGCCAAGGCACTGAGCGAAAATGAGATGGATATTGTTTTAAAAGAACGTTCATTCTATTTTAAAGGACTCGATTAGTCTAAGGAACAATTAGTTAATGTAACTGTAAAGCTCACAATCAGTAATTGGAAAACTTGTGCTTGAAAGAATCTAAAGAACAATATTTCTCTCTCTGTAAATGTGCGAATTTCTGTGTGTATTTGTGCGTGATTGTGTGCATGCCCTAAGGATGTGACACAGACAGCAACAGCAGCGCCATAAAGCAGCAATAAATTTACATTCATGAGAGAAATCAATCGCATTTGGCATGTAGTTGATGCCCCGACTTGGATTTTAATGTCTCCCGAGCCCGTACTGATTAAAAGTGGGTCGGATGGAAGACGCGAAGTTCTTTTCAGTGGTCTGAGGGTAACCATCTCTTACCTGCCTTCGTTGCTGCAATATTCATGCAATCAAACTGATCCTGCAATATGTTCTAAGAGGACCTCGCTGCCTATAGCGCAGTTGTAGTTGGTTCTTTTAGTCCTCCTGCAGCTGCTTTGAAATGGGATTAAAGGTCGATATCCTGCCCTAATAATATTAGAGGTCGATATCCTGGCTAAGTCGCCTATCTGCCGGGCATCTGGCTGGCTTTATTTTTCGCCGGCAGCTTGATGGCTTTTAATTACGACGGCGTGGATTGCTTCCTGGGCCATTGAATGCTAATTTCGAACGCCTTTCAGCCGGAGGAAATGAGGCGAAGGCAAGCCTCTTGCGCCCCGGCAAGTGAAGTGTCGGCTTCCGGTAGCATCCTGCAGTCTTCCACATAAATAGCAACCCTCTCTTCTCGCAATTCCTGTGCTCCCTTCCGTCTGGGCAGGCAATCTCCGCGAGAACACTGAGAGAATTTAATTGAGATTATTATTTTATTTATTTTTTTTAATTTTTTATTGGGTTTAATTGTCTGCAATCAACTTGACTTATGTCTATTATTATTAATTAACAACTTGTACATAAGGGTTATAGGGTATTTAAATTATCCTAACAGTCATTTAGTGAAGTCTACGGCACTGCAGCTGCCCGAATGTAGGTCTGCGGAGCCTTCTCCTAGACGTGACCAATCTCGTTCTTCTGGCTAACTCGTTAGGGTGGTTTCTGAGCCGTATTCTATGTATCCTCGCCAATTTGTTGATGACATCCCCTATAAAGGGGATTGCTAGGTCTCGGTGCAGGTCAGCATTGCGAATGTACCATTCGGCTCCAGTGATTCGTCTGAGAAATTTGTTCTGGAATACTCGTATTTTTTTGAGGTGGGTTGCAGCAGCGATTCCATAGATGGCTAGCCCATAGTGCCAAATAGGGGCGATAGTAGCCATGTATATTCTCCTCTTATTAGCCAGACTTAGCTTCGAGGATGGGTGGGTAAGCCAGCTGAGACGTTGCGCAGCCTGCTCCAATTTACCACAGATACGGGTGATGTGGGTGGAGAAGGTTAGTCTCCTGTCAAACGTGATCCCAAGGTATGTATGCTCTTTCCCTTGAGGAATAAGCTGACCATGTAGAAAGACTCCAGGAGAGGAATCGCTTCTCAAAGAGAAGGTGGTCAGAGCACATTTGGCAGGATTGATGGCTATGTTCCACCTGCAGGACCAGTTTTCAAATTTCTTTAGGTAAATCTGCAGGTCATCTGTGGCTTCGTATATGCAAGAGGATCTTGCCAGGATGGCAGTGCCATCGGCGTTTGTGGCAATGCACATAGCTCCTTGTGTATCTCTGGGAATCTGTGGCGCATCATGTGTATACAAATTGTAGAGAGTTGGTCCTAGGACACTCCCCTGGGGGACTCCTGCAGCAATCGGTCTAGATCTGGAAGAGACCCCATCTTGGACCACCCGAAAGGACCTATCACAGAGGAAGCTTTTGATTATTTCCAAGAGCTGCGGATGAAGGATTCCTTTTAGTTTGGCAAGCAACCCTGGGTGCCAGACGCGATCGAAAGCTTGCTGTATATCCAAAAAGGCTGCCACAGTATACTCCTTACGCTGAAATCCATCCATGATGAACTTCCCCACTCTATGTAGCTGTTCTGGAGTACCATGGCCTATTCTAAACCCAAATTGGTGTTTTGGGATGGCGTTGTTAACGGCAGGGATAGCAAGGATCCGAGACAGGATGCATCGCTCAAGGATTTTTCCAAAGGCAGGAAGCAGGCTAATAGGGCGATAACTCTCGGACTCATGGATTGGTTTTCCACTTTTGTGTAGCATTACAACATTATTGATTGATTATTATAAGTAATTTTTTCAAGTGCTTGCACAATATTTACTTTACTTTAAACTGACTTATCTTATGAAATACTATGGAATCCTTTTTTTCTAGAGATTCATATAAAATGCGTGGGTTGCTTATGTTATTTTTCTCGAGTGCATACCTGGCCTCGTATATATTTTCGCATTTTGTACGTGCGTCACCGTGTCAACCGCAATACCCCGAAGCCCCCCCCTGCTTTACCCTTCCGACCACCGACCAGCGTCCTTCGTCCTCCGTCCTGTCCATCTCACTATGGACCTGCCTGGTTTTGCGGCTGGTTGTTTGCCCTGGCACGTTGATGGCCATAAATACAGTTACATATGTTTACATTGCGGCCAGATACTGGCCACCCCAGTAGAGCCCTTCCCCTTCCTTCCCCCAAAGGACCACCCCTATGCCTGCTTTGCTCATCTCGTTAAAATTCTCATTTCCTCCTGGCGTAGTTTTTGTTGTTTTTATTTTTTAATTCCACATTGAATTTGGTTTGCGAAGCTTAATTAAATGGAAGCAGAGTGCCTTCAGTTAAGCTTAAATACAATTTAAATGAAGAGTTAAACTTTATAAAACCTTTTATTCAATTGATGCAGAAAAATGTTTTTGCCAAAATTGTACTGACAGCTAACAATTACACTTACAGTAGTAAAAAGCATAAAATAATATATGCAAACACTCATTTCCTTTTCCGTTTTGTATATCCCATTTGCAGTGCTAAACCAGAGGAGATTTAAAACTCCCTTTAACCGAGTGGCCTGTAATTTGGAAAGGATCTCAACGCAAAAATGGCGCCGCAACGCATGGGGCAGCAAAAACGTTGGCAGCAAGAGCTACTACAACAGCAACAAAGGACGAAACTATCCTGGCAAAGGCTGCAGCAGCAACAACAGCAACAACAGCAATTAGAAAAAACAACAAAGACCCGACAACGATACAGAGCGGTGGAAAAATGAAACAAAAACCAGAAACGAATTTTCCACTCAAATTTGCATTCAGCCAAAGAAATACAAAAGTCTAAACAAAGAGGAAGGAAACGACACACAAACCCCGTGCACACTAAGAAAGTTGCCAGCAAAACGGGTCAGAGGGCACGCACACACACACACATACACACGCCATACACAGACACGAGCCACAACACAACACATAGCACTCTATAAAACAGCCGGCGCATAAAACATATAAAACATTAAACCGACGGATAGAGAGAACGACGAGTGCATTGCGAACAGTTTTCAACGAATTTCCCAAAGTCTACAAAAGAAATCCAACAAAAGAAGTTCATTACAAGTAACAAAACAAAACCATAACACATTTTGAAATTTGCTCTGTGATTTTCTATCAGAATGGTTTAATATAATCCAAATAATAATAATGATATTTAATAACATAAAGTATTTATAAATATTGCTAACAACTGCGTTCCAAGCCACCACGCCCCACAAAACTTATCGAATTCCCCAAAGAAAAGCTTTAAATCTAACCAAAAACGTAAACAAACAATTTCTATAAATATTAACAACCGGAGTTTATTAGAGGAGAACAACTAGAAGGAGCGAAAGCCCACAAACGTCAACGAACCTCGATCAGGACCACACACTCAGACCAGAGCCATGGACGAGATGCCCGACCTGTCGCACCTGACGCCCCATGAGCGGATGCAGATCGAGAATGTCCTCATGCGGCAGAAGCAGGAGGAGGAGAAGCAGAACGAAATCATGCGGTGAGCAGTCGAATTTCCACAATTATTTAAATAAAGATTTATCGAAAAATAATATTTTCAAAGTTAATTCAAACAATATTAAAATAAAATTCTTGATCTACTCACAGGCGAAAACAGGACGAGGTGGTCACGCTGGAAATGCAAATCAGGCAGCGCTCCGAGCAGCAGAAGAAGGCCGGCGTCGAGCTGGATGCCACCTGTCACATATGCCTTAAGACCAAGTTCGCCGACGGCGTTGGCCACATTTGCCACTACTGCAACATTCGCTGCTGCGCCCGATGCGGCGGCAAGGTGACGCTCCGCAGCAACAAGGTGAGTGGTCCTCCACCCATCCGATCCGCCTGACAGCACTCGGGGCTCTAGCTCTTGTTCCTTGTGTGTGTGTGTGTCCTGCCATCAGGCTTAGGCCCTCTTCGAGGCGCGCGTGACAGCGGGAAAATGGTTTCTTTTAAGGGTGATGCGCTCATTTTCCGCCCATTGACAAATAGAACAACGCTGGTGCCAAACGCTGACGCCAATATTGCTGGCGGCCCGGCTGCCGCTTGACTAAGCAGCCATCACTCATACGCCCCATTGCCACATCGCCATAGACATCGCTTGTTGCCAACTGTCCCCAGTGACGCGTAAAGCTTCGCATAAAGAAGTGCCATTGTCGCCTTGCGGGTCGGATAATTGGCGAGTGGGAGGAGTTGCCGCCCAGTCCAGTATCTTTCTATCTATCCTCCGTTCTGGCGCCTCTCAATTTCACACTCATAACTTGCAAATAATTTGTAGTTCCACGCCATGTCTAGGGTCAAGGATATATAAGAAACGGGCACCCTAAGGGCTCCTTAAATCAATCGTTGATATGGCTAAGGCTGTGCCCTTTTTTATGTGGGAATTATTTCGGTTTAAGATTTGCTACTTTTTGTGATCTCCCGATTTTTTTTCATCCGGGATACCTTGAGTAGTTGCCTTGGCAGTCCGATATTGATTGCTGGCATTTAAGAAAGCTCCCTCAGCAGTCATTCCTTTGAGCCCACTCCTTATGTCCCCTGCGTCCCTGCGGTGCATAGCCTTTCAATTACACATTTAATTTTTTTTCTGTTCAATTTTTATTTAACCCAGTAGTGAACCGTTCGTTGTGAGTTCACTCGTTTTTTTTTTTTTTTGCGCTGACCGGGCTTATCATTTTCTGGCCCTGCTGCCAAACCTTTTTCCGTTGAACTTCTGCCAAAATGTCGCGCACAAGACCGCGCAGAGAGGGCGGCATGTGGGCTTTGGGAGGTGGGCCAAAAATGAAACCATGGAATGGAATTCAATTTGGCGGTGATGCCACGGCGAGGCATCTTCACTAAAACGGCTGGGATCTGGATGCGCGGAATATAAGCGACACCGAGAACCAGCGGTACCCCAGCATCCGCCGACCTTCTAGTGCTGGAGTTTCCACCAAATAAAAATTGGAGAGGCCGGCAAAGTACTCGTTCCATCCGCGCTCCACGTAGGTAGACAGACAGAGGTTCCGGCCCAGCACCTCGAAGAGCTGCGCGAATACGTAGAGCAGAGTGGGCCTCACATTCCAAGGTAAAATCGGATTTATTCCTCTAGCTATCAGTTCCCGTTCCATTTCTTCAATTTCCGCAATGAGGTCCTGCTCGACTTGGTCCATATTACAGCCTGTCTACAAATTTGAAAGCGTAGTTCGTGCGAATTCCCAGAAGAGTGTCGGAACTATAATCTAGCGATTGACTCGGCAGCAAGAACCAAAATGGTTTTCAAGGGGATTTGTTTGACACACAGCTGAAGGCAAATCCAAAGTGTCATACGACTCCCAGGTATCTTGATGCCGTTTGGTTGTGTCACGTAAATCCCTAGGGTTTCCGCTGTTTCTGTTTCCATTCAATATAGGGCTGCGAACTAACTAAGTTCCTTAACTTGTATTATTTTGTTATTCCGTTTTAAAGTTGTTCGATGTATCGTGATGTATTGATATTTTCGCTTAAAAGCATTTGAAATTTCGATGTTTGAAATCTTCGATGTTTTCAAACCTCTACTGGCTACCCTATTCACTTACCTCTACAACTCTTATCATTTTTCAGGTTATATGGGTGTGCATTCTGTGTCGCAAGAAGCAGGAGCTGTTGTCGAAGACTGGCCAGTGGATCAACAAGACGGCAGCCCAACAAGATGGTTTCATCCGACGCATCGAGCCTGATGGGAGTAGCGTGAGTACAACATACTGATTCGCAAGACTTCCAGCTTAATCAATATTTCTATTTTTTGGGCAGGACATCTCCCAGCAGGCCATCGTGGATCCGCGGGACACCACGGACAAGCGACCCAAGTTGGAACGGACTCGCAGCGCAGCCGAGAAAGAGAACCTGCCGATGCAGAGGGCGGGCAGCATGCTGCGGCGCCAGTACTCCCAGCAGGAGCAGCCCACAAACCGCCGCATGTCGGCCTCGGACAGCGGCATGGATCCCATGATGAGTCCCGGCCAACATCCTCATCAGCATCCTCACCAGCAGCAGCAGCAGCAGATGCAGCATCACCAGCAGCAGATGCAGCAGCAGCAGCGTTCTCGCATGCAGCAGATGAATCCGCAGCAGGCGCAGCAAGGTTACGGAATGCAGCATCAGCAGCCGCAGCAGAGATCGGGGGGCGCTTATCCGGAGGAGGATCCCAGCTACTATCAGGTATATCTTAAGCTTTGATTCTGACTACATTTACTGAAGAAAACTATATTTACTAGTTTTAAAATGAAACAATACTTATGAGTTTCACGGTCAAATAACTATGTTTTATTCCTTGCCTTCAGGGTGAGCTGGACGGCCTGATGAGACAGCATCCCCACCTGGCGCATCCCAGCCAGGTGCAGCAGCCGCATGCACCGCAATCGCAGCTGCAACATCAGCAACAGCATCAGCAGCAACAGCTGCAGCAGTCGCAGCAACACCTTATGCAGCAGCAGCATCGTCAGTCGCCGCAGCAACATCCTCAGCAGCATTCGCAGCAGTTTGGGGGCAGGCAGCAGCCACAGCAGCAGTCCTACCAAGCACAGATCCACAATCAGCCTCAGCATCAGCACCAGCATCATGGCCAGCAGATGTCCCAGTCGCAGTCCCCGATGGGGGGCTACCAGAAGCCGCCGCCGTTGACCCGCAACCTGACCATAAGCGGTGGCCATGCCATGGACACCGGCGCCTACAGCCAGCAGCAGCAGCAACAGCAGCAACGACGAGCACTGGCCGGATCACAGTACGCCTCGACGCAGCAGCGATCCTTCAGCAGCTCCGAGGAGGAGTTCCAGCACCAGCTGATGGCCGCCCAGGCGCAGGCGGCTGGAGCGGGGGCCACTGTCACCGCCGGATCGGACTACGATGGTGAGTTGAGACGTTTTGTCCAATTTGCATCCATCTTTCTCCCTCTCGCTCGCTCTATCTCTGCTCTATCCCGCTCTGACTACCTGAGCGATCCTCTATCTCTCCGCTCCGACTCACCTCTCCTCCCGTCTATCTCTATCGCTTCCATCTTTTCCGCTCTCAACGTCCCGCAAGGCAATGCCCCAATCCAAATCGAATTCAAGTTTTCCATCAATTAAATATCTCTCTCTCGCTCTCTGTAAGCTCTGTTTGACTCGCTCGCTCAAAAGAATCGAAAGAATCCTATGTCCTTATAAAAAGCAATAATATTCTCAAAAATGTAGCACTCTCTTGTCTCACATTGGTGCGTTGTCTTTTTCTTTGGCTCCTTCTTGAGATCCAATATTTGATGTTTTTTCCAAACCAAATCAAAAGTCTTTTAACTTGTGTTTGCCTCACATTTCTGTGTTTCGTTTATCGGTGTAAATATTTAATTTTCAATGTCTATCAATCTCATCCCATAAGTTTACTTTAAGCTAACTATAAGGCCATAAGTTGGAATTAAGTGGAAAAGTCTGATAGGAAATAGATATAGATAAATAATTTAATAATATCGATGTTATTTAATTTATTAAATCGTATCATTTATTTTATATATAAAAAATCTTGAAAAAAAACCTTTTATGACATTTTTATATTTGTTTTGCACAATTATAGTTTTAAGTTTAGTTTTGTCTCAGCTCTTATTTATCAAACAAGGTATCGATTTAAAGCAACATATCGATTTCGCGATCCAAAGCTTAATCTAAATTTCAGCAGGGATGTCATTAAATTTACATTTCTAAATTAAGCCCCTTAAAAGCAAGTTTAAATGTCTTAACAGAAAAAGTTTTCCCAAATACTTTCTTCACAAAAGGAGAAATGCAACTTTTAACTTGCATGCCGGGCTTATACACTTGTACAAATACACATACACACATTATCACACACACACACACTCACATACACGTGTGGCGGCTAAAAATGGATGCAATCGTAAAAGGGAAACAAGCTTTGGAATACCGAAAATGTGATACCTTTCCTGTAAATATAGCACCAACAAAATGGAAGGAAAATCGAAAAACAAGAAATAAATTTCTCAACACAAAAGTCTCTGCAATGAGTTAATTCCGTGTAATAATATTACAATTTTCAAGCAATTGCTGCTTCATCACATAATCCTACTACAGTCGCTGAAAGTTTAAAACTTAAAAACTAGCTAAAAGCCAAACATATTGTGCCCCTTGAAAGAGTATACAAAAGAAGCGAAAGGCGAATGTTTTGTAGCGGAAACATTTCGATGCGCTTATCTCGGAGGCACTTGACTCGACGCTCGACAACAGCCAGCGAATGGAAAGGAAAATCTGAAGAGGGTCGGCGTAAAAGCGGTGGGAAAAGCAACGTGAAGGTGCCGAGGAAATGGCGGAAAATAAAAATAAATTGTTTGCAAAGGGGCCGAAAAGAGCCACCGCGAAAAGTGCGCACTTCTGGACGCTGCATACTTCTCGGCTGGCTGTCGTTGTTGCTGCTCCTCGCTGGCCGTTAAATGCAATCAGCATAAATTATATGCCAGTGCAAGGCAGGAAGGTTGCACAGCTGACCCGAAAACACATTTTCCATCAGGAAAACGCAGCAGGGCAAAAAGGAGGGGAAGTAAAAGAGGAAGGAGGCGGCAGGCCAAGCAGCTTTTCCTTTTTGGCAGCCACCACAAAACATCAAGAAGTTGGCCAAGCAGCTGCACTTGCCTGATGAAGGGGACGGCAGGGGCGGGTGGGCGTTTGTGGGTGGGTTTTTCAAATATGTAGGGAGAGGTTGGAGGGCTTCCTTCTGCTCTTCATGTTTTGAGAGATGCCGGGCGACGTTGTCAAGTGCGATGCTGGCAAATTTATTATCCTAATTAGAAAGTTTCTTGTTGGCACTTGCTGCTGTTCTGCCACACTTTTTTTTCTAGCATGCACCGAGAAAAATTAACCATAAATTGCATTTTCCAACAATTTGGTATTTATGCATAGCCGGAGACAGTGCACAATTTACTTGAAGGATTAAGCAAATTTATTGTAAATTTCAACACTAAGATTGGGATTTAATGCTTTTGAAAAACGAAATCCATTATAGTATGCCATGGCAAATTCTCAATTGACTTCAAATATCTGTAAATTTTCGTGTTGAATTTAAAAAGTATCTTCTGATTTCTTTCAGTGATTGCTTTGGTGGCAGTGCAACATGCGGCGCTTGGTGATTTAAATTTTTTATTGCTGCACATTAGCGCGCAAGTTTCTGGCAAGCATGTTGCACTTGCCCCGCAGTTCTTACTGTCATTTTCAATTTCCCAACAAACTAGCATATAATAATTATTGATTTCAACTTTGACCCCGGGCTGTGGCAGTATCAGCTGGTGGCCCCGCAGTGTGGGGTGATCTGATGTGCCACAGGGCCATACTCGAAAATTAAATGCTAAAATGCAACCAATTGATAAAGGAAATCGAAAACGACGCCAAAACGGAAACGGTGGCAAGTGAAAGTCTCGTGGGAAACAAAGAAAGTGTGGGAGACGGTAGTCTGTGGACCGTGGGTCCTGTTCTGGTGCAGCTGCACCCGCTACTCACCACAGCCGCGCCAACGCAAAATCCACCACATTGTTTGCCAGTTCACAATGCTCGCAGCGTGGCCCCAGACGTCATGCGTTGGAATTCCCATCCAACGTATCGTGGCCTGGAAAATTCCCACACACCAGTGTGTCGGAGCAGCACGCATGCGCTGCACCTTCTCCTGTCCTTCCGCATCCTTAGTCCATCAATTGGTTTTCCACTGCTGTGGGTGGTGTAGGGCGGGTGGCGGATGGAAGAGCAGCTGACGCTGTCAAGAAGCGCGCGTAAACCCTCCAAAACTTGGACCGTATCCGTGTTGTGTTTGTGGAAAATTAGCCTCTTAAAAAACCCTTTTATGTTCTTACTAATATTAAATAGACCGACAAAAATTCACTAAGTGGAGCTTTAAATTTAAAAATAGAATTCTTTATATAACTTAATCCTAAATGTCTAAAAAATAAACTTTACATATTATAATAAAGTCTAGAATACAAGCTTTAAATACTTAGTATTCCAAACTGTGTTATCTTGGGAAAACCAGTTTTACTCTACAAAATTCAAATTTTATTTAATTTTAAAGCTTAAAACCCAAGCCAGATAGAACCAACTCTTAAACTCTTTTTAATAACCACCGGAACACTAGTCGATCTGCGTCACGTTAGCCACTTTTGAATCCTTTCGCAATCGGACGCCACTTGGTTGTTCGGTTTGCCCTGCAGCGACGTCACTTCATTCAGTGCCTCGCATTTTGGCTTGTGCAGCGTCATGGTCCTTACTACTCGTCCTGCCAGCAACTACAACTAATGCACTTGCACTTGCAGCAGCGACAGCGGCAGTTGGTCGCTTTTCCGCATCCAGCACGCGCACCACCACCCACTTACCAGACATTCCAGCAACCGCCCACTGACCATCCCCCCCCTTTGCTGGAAGGCAAAGACAAACACGTTGACTTTGCGGGAGATTCGCCTTGAAGGTGGCAAACACAAACACCAACACACACATACCGCAGTTAACCCCTTGTGGGCCGAGCATATATGATTTAAGTAAAACATTTACCTTCCTAGGAAATTAATGAAGTTAAAAATGTGTTATTCTTTTTTTTTTAACAATTAAATAATGAGTTACTACAGAGATTTCGTTGTGACAAAAGGATGAGTGTGTGATCTGGTTGATATAATTGAGTTTCAATTTATGTAAACTAAATCAAAATATAATCGAGCTACTTAAATTCTACCAATATCTAAGCTCACCAATGAAAAGTAAAAGTATTATAAATTTACTTAGGGAAAATAAGGTTCAGCTGCCATCCAAATTGAAGGAGATTTGAGCCAAGATGTAACTAAACATGGCTGACAATTTTGTGACAGTGGCCTGCGAAGGGTTAAGGGAAATGGATGCAGCCCGCTGACCCCAAAGATGGCGGTGGGCAGCGAGGGGCGGTTGGGTGGAATGTGGGCAGCAGGAGCAGCGGCAGCAGCAGCTGTCAATGTTATCGCTGCTGGCTGCGACGCCGACGTCTATGTTGGCAGCGGTGTTGGCCACGCGCTTAACTTTATTTTTAGTTCGGCACTGGAAGCGCCATGGGAAAGTGGCGGCAACAACAAGCCGCCCTGTAACATTGTTATTGGAAATGTTGTAGGCTCCAGCAACAACACGGCCAACAACGACAACAGCAGGCGAGAGAGTAGGCGCAAGGGAAAGCGAATGGCAGCGTAAAGCGAAAATTCCATTGAGATTTTTTATGAAATCGAAACGAAATTAGTTTTCGATGAACTTTAAAGGCGAGTAAACAGCCGCGGCGGTCGTTCTCGCGCCTTTCGCACGTGTCTCGCAAAAACAAAAGGAATAAGAAATAAAATAAATATAAAAGAAAAGCAAAGTACACGGTGCTGGAAAATCGGATTCGGAAAATCCACGCTAACGAAATACGAGCATAAAATAAAAGAAAAACGACCAGGAAAGGGCACCTGGCGAGTGAGTGAAATCGAAAGCGAGGCGCTCGGTAAAGGAGAAAGCCAAAGCCAAAACCAAACTCTGTGAAATGTGAATGTCGAGTTAAAAATAACCTTGGTGGCAAATTGTACAATCCCCGAAAAAGGAGCGCAGCCTGACATGAGGCTGTCGGGCGCAGAAAGTGGAAAAGTGCAGAGAAAGTGGTGAAAGCGGCGTCGGTTAACGAGAAAAAAACTGCACTTAATTGGCCAAGAAGCATGGATAATTGAGGTCTTGGCATTGAGCAGCAGCATCAGCCAAGGCTAATTAAGTTGCAGCCGGAGTTGAGCAGAATTTAGTTTGAAATAAAGCAAAAGCCGAGTTGAAAACAACATAAACGAGTGATCAAAAATCAAAAAGTGCTACAAAATAATTATTTTGGGAATAAAAGGTATTCGAGAT